CTCCTCTTTTGTACGTTCTCGTTTCCGATTTTTTTCCACATGTCCTCCCCCACGTTCACGTTCACGTTCACGGTAGTCGTGCGAACGAGCCGAATGGCTACTATGTCTGACAACCTAAAAAACCCCAAATATTCTAGCAATGTTGGGATTTTGTTGAAAGAGGGAGTCCTTAATATGTATTTAACAAACAAATGTGACACTTGGGCTACGTGGTTCAAACACCAAGCAGATTGCTAAAGCATAGGCGGATCCAGGACGAACTTCTGAGTGGGAACGAGGGAAAAGGGAGGGGCGAGAAAAAAGGGGGAGGGGGAGGTGACGGAAATGCGGAAGAGAATCCCATGCCACTTCGGAATTATGCAAAAACTGGGAAACTATGCTCTAATATAATATACAAATTTCTTTCGCTCTTTGGCCCATTGAGTGTAGTGATGAGCGGAGGGGAGAGGGGTGCAGTGAAACGTTCGGAGGGGGTTGTAATGACGAAAGAAGGTGAGGTGAAAAATCTTCCCCTCCCCTCCCCTCCCCCCCCAGCCCCCTCGCCTTCAGGAAACTGACCTGGATTCGCGTATGCGGGGCGCTAAAGTCTCGAGAATCACGGGGCCTAGGAAGCTGAAATTTTACGGTAATGACCCCCTGCCCACGCTCATCCTTGCCTATTCAAATTCAGCGTTCCCGCGCTCTTGAGCATCACCTACGGCCTCGTGAAAATTTTGGCGGGTAAACTACTTTGAATATGCATGTTGTTTCAGGCAATCAATATAAGGCAATCAACATTAAGATTAGTGATAGTGGCAGACAATAACATCTATTCTAGTGGGAAAAGACAGTTCCTGGGTGCATGACTGCAAGAGATTTTCGTTTTTGATATACCTTTGCTTATGTAATTTGAGCTGTGTAACCATATTTTTCCTTTTTTGTGTTTTAAAGGCAGAAAGGAAGAAATGAGAGAGAATGATTTTAAAGGCAGAAAGAAAGAACTGAGGGAAAATTATTCTTGAAAAGGATGGTTTAAAATAACGATGATTTAAAGCAATTTGAAATGTTTCAAACGAAAATAAATGCAATTAAAATGGATTATTTAAAAGTGTGTTCAAAAATAATAAATGGAATCTAGGTATACGAAACATCAGAAATAAAAATAATTGCAGTGTAGTAACTAGACAGGAATTTTTCAGTCCATTAAGTCGTACACATTTCTATTCAGCACCAAAAATTTGAAATAAAAAAAAAAAACAAAGACTGAATCGAAAAAATGAGCAGAAATGTGACGATGAAACAATAGCCCATCAATTTATGGTGAGCACTTACCATGTCTTTTGGTTGCATTGAGAACATCTCCTCATCGCTCGAGCCATAATTGGCCAGAGCTGATTTTGAGGACTTTTTCACCGTAGGCGATAGGGGACGCATGGAAGATCTGAATTTTTTATCGTTGCTTGTTACGGTGATCGAAATTGACGAGACCGTACCACGATCGATCACTTCGGTGACCTCACGTTTCGAGACCGACGACGTACTGCTGTGCAGGACACCGCTACGTTTTTCCAACAACTTCTGACGTAATCGTGCCTCTTCATCTTCTAAAAATAGCTTCAAAACATTCTCAGATGCTATCGCAATGCCTAAAAGAACGAAAAGGTAATGCAAAGGGCGAGCGATGAACCTCGAATGTAAACTGGCAATACTTAAAGTATCAAAAATCTGTTTTTTTGAATATGACGATTAATAGGGGGGGTGGGGGGGGGCGTGTTGATGCCCCCCAGATGTTCCGAGAAGCAGCGCCGGTTCTTTGTGACGACGCAAGACTTCCTTGTTTATGATATCATGGCTTTGTCTGGGCTTTGTTTGTTCCTCCCGCGGGTCAGCATGTATGATCGGGGAGGTGTGGCCTTCGTTTTGTTATATAAGCGAGCCTTAACTCAGAATAAACACAGTTTAACAGCAATATCAGTTCAATACCGGACCAGCGACACGGCACGATCTTTCCACCTCAACCACACACACACATCGTCACGCGTTTCACACCTCACACAACACGGACTCCCTTGGCCCCTTATTAAAAGCACGTCTTACCAACTAGCGCTACGTCACTGTAAGAAAGGCAACGAAGTTAGAAGAGTAAATAAAGAGGTAAAACGAGCTCAGTTGAAAGATGTAAGAGGTAGAACCTTAGCTCAAAGACATGTTGGCAATGAGCATGAAAAATTCGCTCCTCGAAAGAAAAACAATAAATGGGAAAGGAACGGGAAAAGTATGTGTTCCGAACAGTTTTTGTAGCAGATCCTGTATATTTTGTTGCTAAATTACTGTTAAGAAATAATTTCTGTGCCTTTATATTTTGAGGCGAATGGACTTTGTAACCCATTTTCAACTTAGCAATCTTGGAAGTTAAGGAGCTAAAATTACAGGATAACATTCCCATCCCACAGGCCACCCTTCCGTTTTAAAATCAGCATTCACATGCATCCAGATCT